TAGCTCCAAGGGAGAGGGAAACCCTTCCTTCTGAAGACTTCAGTCTGATCCTAATTCTGCTATAAGAAAAGGGGGAGAGGGGGAAGCCAGTCCAGATGAATATAGTCTTTAATAGTTCAGCACATGGAGTGGATCCTCCCAAAAAATATCCATCCCATAGGAGTTTTCAACAACCAACTCATCACAGATCACTCATATCTATCCTCCACCAAGCAAGAAAGTTCAGGTACAGTCCCTTCCTAGAAAAGTACAATGAAAAGTCCCAAACAAAGTCTCCCTCCTACTCCCACCCCAAGCTCACCCATTCCATCATGGAATTCTCTTGATCAATCCTGTCTACTCCTCACATATTCCTAAAAATTCCTTGAGATGAGATTCTGATCCAGTTGGGAGAAATACAAACTATATTTATTCTAGGACATGTTTAGTAGGAACAGGGAATGAAGTATAAAAACAGATTTTTCTTTTTTTTATGATGGCAACAAATCCCCTGCTTATTTTTTTTTTTGAACCAAGAACATAATTCTTGAAGTGGAGTCAGAAATCTGAGGGTGAGGTTAGGAATTAGAAGATGAGATTCCCCATGAGATAACATATAATGTTATCTACTGTATGAATATCCAGAAATACTAACAAAAGAATTGTGTATGAATTCAACATAATTTGTCAAAGACAAATTTATCTGAAGGCTCCTAGAAAAATGATTTTATTTTTAAGTAGATAAACATTTTTTCTTGTGGGGGAAAAAGGAAGTTTTGATAACAAATAAATGATGTGTTAATAAGCAATTACACAAATGTGGATAGACAATGGACCTTTCTCATTAAGAAAGCAGTCATTTTAATCTGACATAGTATATGCATTGTAGTGAATTTCACATCTCTAATTATTATGTGTAAGGGAAAAGGCAAAGGAGAGGGAAAGAGAACAACTATATTTATTTTCATTAAAATCCATGATTTTTTTTTTTTGCAAAAATGAATTTTAATTCACTAAACAAAATTAGAGGTCACGTTTTATTCATACAACTTGTCGGAGTCCATCAGTTAAAAGCCATTGCCTTTCTATTGGCTTTATGGACATTTAGTTGGTTTCCATAAAGTTCAAAAAAGAAGTACTTTGCTTTCTTAACTAAACTTTTACAATTGAATGACTTTATAATTTTACTGAGCAGTTAGTACCACTGTCATTTGTTTGACATGATTTAATCTATGGCCTATATTCTACATTTTAATTGTATTATGTATAATTTATTATTTATTTTAACATTCCTTTCTTGTAAAATTTTGAGTTCCAAATTCTCTCCCTCCCACATCCTCCCAAACTCACTGAGAAGGTAAGCAATATATCAATTACACATGTGAAATCATGCAAAATATATTTCCATATTAGCCATATTTTTAAAAAGCAAGAAAAATAAAGTGAAAAAATAATATTACACTTTGTGCTCAGAGTTCATCAGTTCTTTCTCTGTAAGTGGCTATATCCTACATATTAGAGATATTCTGAGTCATAAGTAAAACTCAAATTCTAGATATAGTTACAAAATAAATGACAGAATGCAATGAAACTTTAATATTTATTTACATTGTAAGGTTTTTTTTTTACAATTCTAAAAATAATATGTGAGTTCTAGAGATATAAAATTCAAATTATATAATTTTCCTTAAATGCTCTAAAGACTTTAAAATCAATCAGTTAAAATAGTTTGAGACTATGTATATACATTTTCTTTTTAAAAAGTGATTAGAACAGACTTAGGAAAAATTTCAACACTATTTTTTTTGGGCAAATGGTTTCATTGATACTCTCTTGAAATAATTTCAACCTTAAAACACATAATCACACTTTAAACACCACAAACACCATAGGTGGCAGCATTTTTAAAGGGACAAAATATACATTATATTTTACTAGAGCAATAACCATAAAAAGATACTATTTACAAGGCTCAATAGTCCACTTTATTGGCCAAAAAAGTATATTAAAGTACATCTTGATGTATTTTAGTTTGTTTGTGAAACTTTTAAATGTTTACATTTCAAAAAAAGGAATCATTGGATTATATGTTAATGGAGCCAAATTCCTAGAAGTTTAAAAATACATTTATTAAATCATTAAAATCTAGTAAGTGGTCATGATATTCCAGATATTAATAAAGTTTAAAACCAATCACTTTCTTATCCAGTGGCTGATATACACATACTAATACATCCATGAGTTCTTTGAGGAAATTAAAATACATTTAAACTACTTCAGCTCTCTGTAAATATAATATCAAGTTAAAATACATGTTTTCATACATAGTGGTTAACTTAGGGGGGAAAAAGTATATAAGATCACTTACTATAGTCTTTCTGATTTCAATTCTTTTAAACCTCTTGTGGTAGAATATAAGACTTGTGTCACTCCTGGAAGTCTTAACTTAGGAAATACAAGTTCTAGCAAGAGAGGATCTGTGGTTCCCATAATGCTATTTCATTATAACTAAGAGGAATTTTACATTTATTTCTGCTAACAGAGGCATGACAGCAGTTATTTCTAAACCTCTTACGCATTTTTTTTTTGCTAGTCTCATGAAATCAATTCCATACATTTGGGGTAGGCTGTTAAATCTAATATATCATATAGTAGTTATCACTTTATTATTCCATATTTAAAATGAGGATGAAATTTCAACTCTTTTTTATTATAAATCCTATAGATGAATGGGGGAAGGGAATGCACATTTATATAGTGCCTACTATATGTCAGGAGCTGTACTAAGTGCTTTATAAATATCTCATTCAATTAGCTATGGCTTTAAAACCTTGATAAATACATAATCAAAAAAAAGTGAGCATAAGCCAGTCAGCTCTTATTAGAAAGTTAAGGATGACTTGAAGAATCTTTAATTTAAACTAAAAGCTATAAGTAAATTGTGAAATTACAAGCAAATACTATTTTATATTGATCTCCTATTTGTTATATGCTTCTATCAGCACACTAGAAATTAATGAGATGGAACTTTGAAATCAGCAAATTTAGCAAACTTCAACAATAACGTGTCTTCTTTTAGAAGACAAATTGCTAATGATTGTAAGAAATAAGATGATTATGTTTTTAAGGAACAAACATGCCAAGTGTATGATTTCCCAAAAAGAGTCAGTAGAACTGAAACACTGACAACAGTCTTATCTCAGGCAGCTGAAGGAGTGGGATGAGTAGAGTTTACTTTTCCTTTTTCAATAAAACAGGCCATTGTTATTGACTTATATAGGTATTATTTGAACTAGGAAAGAGAGGATATTAGGTTGAAATGATATATAACCTGAATAGAAAATAAACTCAAATCCCTATAATTTGCCTGATTCACTTGTGTCCTCAAAAGGGAACATGTCTTTGGATGACATTCTTACATATCCTGATAAAATGGAGCTTAAGTTCCTTTTATTTGTAAATACAGACTAAATTCCAGAAATGAATAAATACTATAGGAACATTCTACTACATTTAGAGGCAGAATGATATTGGGGATGGACCAACTGGGTCCAAAGAGCACTTCTGACATACACTGGTTTAGTAACACTAACTAGACAAGTCATTTAACTTCTTAATGTTCCAGGCAAACTCTCAAAGACTTCAAAATGAAGACTTTAAATTGAAAAATAGTTTGCCTTTCTTTGTTAGCGAGTTTCCTCATTAAGAACTCCTTACACAGGTCTGTCTCTCTCCAAATATATGTGTGTGTGTATGTGTGTGTGTGTGTGTGTGTGTGTATATACATATATGCATATATATTACAACATGCCACCCTGGTTTTTCACTTCCTACCCCAAGTATCTATGTGACTAGTACCACAGAAAAATTGGATTGCTGGTGATCTCAGGAATTATCAGTATTTGTTTCCTGATGTCCAACCTCAGCTTTCCTTTTTTTGCACAGTACCTCCATCTTTTTTGGGTTGGCTTCCCCCTTTCTGCTTATATACTCTCTCTCATTTATTCCTCCCACCCCCACCCCCGCCCCCCCCAAAGAAAGCGAAACTTCAGCGCATCTCCAGTAATTTCTGCTGGAAGTTTTCAGTCTCCAAGGCATATTCTGATCACCAGTTAGAAGCTTTACTTTCCCTCACCCCCACTTCCCAGCACTAAGGTTAACACATCCTCCCACCCAATCCTGAGTGCTGTTTCTACCAGTATTCTGATAGGTGGGAGTAAGGTGAAGAGAACCTACCAGTGATTGCTCAGGTTCTTTGCTTGTCTAACATGTTTTCTATTAGCTCCGGATCTGATATAGATAATGCTGTGCCTTCACACTTACTTCCAACCTCATTAGGATGGTTAATTGAGAGTTGACTGACTATACTTGTCTCTGATTTTACTTCATGAAGCGACAGGGGGTGGGGGGTGGGAAGGCGGAGAGGTTGTACAATGCCTCACTTAGAGAACTTTGGGTGACATTACTGTAACCATCCTGCAAGAAAAAAAAAAAGGACTTCAGAGACTTACTCAGCATCCCATCTCCTCAGCTACACTGGCCAAACAGTCACCATCCTCATCGATGGCACCCACACCCTTATTCACCTTCAACTCTCAGTACTGAATGACATTCTGAGAGCTTCGCTCCTCCTAGCACTCCAAAACCACCACCGCGTCTCTTTTCTATCCCAGTCCTTCCCACATAAGGTCCGTACTACACAATTTACTTAGATTCATCAGAGAAATTTTGGATAATCCCCAGGGCCAGAGAGTGATGGAGAGGGACTCGAACGCTTTAAGTGGATAAAGTCTCCCCATCAAAGGCGCGGACTGTGGAGCACACCGCCCTCCCCATTCTTGAGAGCGTGTCTTTCGAGCTCTCCGCTTCACCACCACCCCCATAAAACAAAAACACAGAGAAGCAGACCTTGTCAGCGGAACCTTGTAATATCAAAGCCTCCTCAATATGCCTCCCCCAAACCCCTTCACAGTGCCCTAGGCAGAGGATTACTGAGTCGAGCAGAAAACAGAAGCAATTACCAGAGTTTTGTTCCCGTTCTTGCTGAGGGGACCTCGGAAAACTCCCTTGATGTTGCGAAAGTGCCCATTGCTGAGATGCGTGGAGCTGATGACAATGTAGTAACACTCCATGGGGCAGCCGACGCCTCCTCCACCACCGCAGCCGCTGCTTCCATGCACCTCCGCTCCCGCAGCAGCTGCTCACACACGCGGAACTGGATGAAGGTGGCAGTGGGCACCAAGTGCAGCCAAAACACACCGGACAGACACGCATATACACACAATCTCTGCTCCTGGGAAGGAAGGGCTGACACTCTGACACTCAACTCCTCTTTCCCCAGCTCTGCTGAGCGAGGTTAGCTGCCCCCTCCCCCTCCTCCTTTTTCTTTCTTTCTTTCTTTCTTTTTTTCCTTTTTGTTTTTTTCTTTGAGGATTGACTGGAAGAGGAGGAGGGAGGGGAATCCCAGATTGGGAGGAAAGGCTGGGGTGAGGGGTGCACAAGGGTTGCTGAGGAAGGCAGACGGGTGGACCCAACCTCAGCTTGTGTCTCAGTGCAGCACAGAAGGAAGGGAGAGGAGCAGCCTGAGCTGTGGCAGCGAGAGCAGCAGCATCAGCAGCAGCATTTCCTCGGCTTTGCGGAAGGAATCTGAGTTGCTGCCTCTCGCAGGCATTAGTGTTATTATAGTGTGCGGCGTTGCCGGTCCATTGCACTGAGCCAATGGCAGGAAGCCACTGGGCTGATACCGAGAGCTGTCAGAGGAGTACATCTGTCACACGCTGCCTTCACCACCACCCCCAGCTCTCTCGCTCTCCTCCCTCCTCCCCCTCAGTACACACTGCTGGCTCAGCCCTGCCAGCCTGCCTGCCACACTCAAGTGAAGACTAGGGGGAAGAGCAGCGTCCAGAAGCCGTGGCAGCGACCTCCCCACAGCAATCGCTGCAGCCTCTTTGGGATATACAACAAGAGCAGCACCTGCCCTGAACAGGACAACGGACAGGGTGAATGTGCAGTCTGGCAAGCTGGAGTTTAAGGGTCGAAGGAAGGAGAAAACGGCGAACTGGGAAGAAAGTGAGAAACGCGGAGAAAGAGGATGGTGAAAAGAAGGGATGAAGCTTTTCTTTTCTCTTTTCGAGGGTTATTTATAAGATAAATGAAATAAAATAACACCTTCCTTCTCCTAAAGCCCAAAGGTTCGCGACTTCACTAACCCCTTCCTCCCCTCTCCCCACCTCAGCAATCATCAAAACCTAACATGTGACAGCACCTGCTTTTCTCACGAAACTGTAGCTGCCCATTGATCTTGCTTAATGGTTATTTATTCATTTATTCACTGGACTGGAGAGAGAGGAGAAATAAAAAGCGACTTTAGCTCCAGAAGTAGAGAAATTATAAGAAAATGGTCCTTTTATTGTTTCTTTTCTATAACAAGAGTTTAGTTAGATCGTATGTTATTTAAGGGAATGGGGCTTGAGATTGGGAGGAGGTGTTCTATAGGAAACAAAGGTGTGTGGTACCTTTCTTTATTCCACCATTCCCTTAGTCCACATCCCAAAATACCTTACCCCGCTTTACGGTTCTCAGCAACTGCAGTAAGCCTGGGTAATAGTAGCAGCTGCTACTGACTCCCTTTCCATTTCTCTTTGGTTGTTAACCTGCTGCAGTAAGTAGCGATGAACAATGACATTCACCCTAGATAGGACTAGGATACAAAATCTTTGGAAATATACTGAAAGGCTTGACAGGGAAAGGATAAGGCTTTGCTGTGTCCCCTTATGGCAATCAGACATTTCTTGAGAAGCAAAAATTGCCGCCCTTAGCTTGTGCCTTCCCTTCTGTTCTCCCAACCCCAGTATATTCCCTCTTTGTGCAAGTTTAACTCTTCTGAAGTGGTTTAGTAAGAGCATCCCATCAGGTATATATATGGCTCATTAGTACGCACTTAAAGAGATCGATAACAGGCAGTAGAAAGCCTGAAGATGGTGAGTTCAATGGATTTACTGAAGGCTTTAGTTTCTTCTTGCTCAGGATGGCTTAATTGGTTAAAACAGAATTCAGACTGCCCAGGTAAATGCAACTCAGAGCCAAATGCAGGCTGAAACAGACTATATTATTTCTCCCCTCTGATTTTGCTAAATTCCATCACATTTGCACCATAGTTCACTATTTCTCCCCTAAAAATGTAGGTCATTATGGTATTGCCCTACAGCCATGAGCAGACCCTTTAAATAAATCCTTCAATCTGATTTCACTACTAGTTTTGGGAGAAAAGAGGATGGTTAGATGGATTTGAGAAATGAGTTCTTTGATACTGTGGAAATAAAGCACTCCCTGGATGCATCTTTGTAGCAAGCATAGGTAACATAAAAGAAATGCATCAAAATAGGAATTATCAATTGTTCGTGTTTGTATACAGACAAATAAGAAGTTGATATCTATTGATCAAAGTTCATTATTAAATGTCATTTACTTTAAAGGCACTTTTCTTGTAGTTCACAGCTATCCACTTGGGGGAGTCTGTAAGTCTTTAAAGAAAGCCTGTGTTTACAAAACTTCTATCTGTTATGAAATAGAGGTTTTGTTAGAATTAAGTTTGAATGATTTGATATTTAAAAAAAATAAGGGTTCATTTCTGCTCAGTTACATATTAACATTTAGACTCAGATTAATATTTTGCCATCAACTGTTTTAATTTTTAATCCAGATATAAATGTCCTTGGTATGCCATTGCTTTGTGAACAAATAACCTCTTCAATATAATGTGACTCCTTTTACATATTATGAGTTCTTTGGAGACTAGCTCTTAAATGAAAATGAACTGTCTTTGTGGGATGGTGGGCCTCAGAAATGTAGATACTAAAGAAGGTAACTTAATATTAGAGCACAAAATCTTGAGTCTGCACAACTCCCATGATACCCTGTGGCTTGCAGCCTCATTTGTAATGCTTCTTTCAATTTTCTCATAGATTTTTTTGTTCTCTGAGTTGGAATGTGCAGCTTAAGGTCCATTGCTGGAAACAGGAAGTGCCAAAGTTAAATGAATTGGCTCAGAGAGCCAAATTTCATCTATCATGTAATGCTTCACTTTCAGAATTTGCTTCTAGTGGCAAAGCCTGTCCATCCAAACTATTTTTTATACTTCCATCATAAAGCACTATAGAGAAACCCCCTTTAGCAATTTCTGACAGGTGTCATTTTGCTATCATTTTTTATCTTGGCCATTAATATCCTTTTTAATAGTAGAGAAACTTTGTATGTTCACATGCCTGTGTGTGTGATGTGTGATTTTTGGATGTCAGAATATGCTATCTTTTCTATATTCAGTTCTTATTCTAAAAGGTAGCAAATTCATTCAATTTCCTATAGTTGCAGAAACGATAAAATGAATAGAAACAAAAAAAAGAAAAGATTTGTCACTTTTATCACATAAGTAAAGCAAAATGACATATCCAATGGCGGAAGCATAAATAAGTCCCAAGGTTACTTCCAGTGCAGAAAAACTTCCTTGAAATGATTAAATCCTGAGTGTCATTGTATACATGTTTTTATATATGCAAACTTTGGATGTGCATGCATGCATGCCAATATTGAGGATCAGTTTAGAATTAGGGATGGGAATGAGTCTAAAGAGGATATTTTTGCTTAGTATTTTTTTCCTTGAGGGACTATACCTCTAAATCCTAGATAACAGCTTCTTATACACCTGTTACTGTCAGTGACAGGTTGTGCTGTCTTACCACTTATCAGAATTTTTATAGACTTGTGCATCAGGGGGATGAGATACACTGTGGAGTTAGAAGGGATATTATTAGGGATCTGCTCCTTCCCTGGCTACTGATAATGACTCACTACCATGGGATTGAAATATAGGGTATACATGAAAATCACATTTTTGAATTTTAGGAATATCTTCAAGAAAAAAAAAAAAGTGAAATGAGAGAAAGCATACCTTTATCCACCCAGAGGAAAGGTTGTCCCTTTAAAACAAAAAGTTGATAGGATTTCCTTCCTACTTGTCCCTTTCTTCTTTTTTTTTCTCATGCTGCTATTCTATAAGATAAGAAAAGGCACATATCATGGTTAAGTATGTAAATGTATAAGTGCTTTGGGTCATTTATAAGCACTATAATGTCATGGAATATCGGTCAAATATGTAAATATCATTGACTCGAGTTACAGTTTTCCTAGATTCTGAAAATGCTGCCCTTAAAAGAAAATTCCCTTTCCCTGTCAGTGATTTGGGGATTATAGAAGAGTACAGAAATAGAATTGAACTTTGATGTACTATTGTGGATTACAGTAGGACATTTCATTTTTTTATTTACTAGATAATTATAGAACACATATGTTCAATTGCCAACTGTCCAGCTAGAATAATTTTCTCAATTATATTTTTAAAAAGAGAAAATGTGTTAATTGCATGGCATTAATCACAATATGATATTGCAATTAATTTGTGCCAGCACTATGCTTTAGATTTGCCTTGGCCTATCATTTAAAGATTATTCTTCACCTTCTATGAGGGTATTGAAATTGAACTTTTTCAGTACTTTATATCTTGGAAGAAATGTACTTGTTATTCCCTGGGTATTCAATTAAATTAAACAAATATTTATTCCTAATCCTAGGGATACAAAAATTAAAAATAAAGTACACTCTACCCCTTAGGAAGTTTTAAAGGTGGGAAGGCAGATGAATAAATATATGTAATAATAGGTAGACTGTATAAAGGGTAAAGGAAGTGTCAATTTCTAGATCAAGTTTAATAAGCAATATAAAGGAAGGAGTTCACTTTAGCTGGTATAGAAGAAGCACAGTGTGGGACTTTTCGGGAAAAAAGTACATTCTTAACCTCCAGAGCTGTTGGGGAGAAAATATTGAATATAGGTGATGGTCTGTGAAAGTGATCAAATTTGATAAGGCTTGGATATATTGTTTGGAACCAGATTGAGGAGGAGGACCTTGAATAATAAATTTATGTCACTGGTAGCATGAAGAGACATTTCATTAAGAAGATTATTTTGATAGTGTATAAAAGATGGACCATTAAGAAAATAGCTCAGAGGCAATTGAATCACTTGGAAAGTTAATGCAATAGTTAAATCAGTTGATGGGGAATTTTTTTTATCAGAAA